GTAAGCAGACTACTTAAATTAGGCACCAAAAGTGCACGTGTGGCTAGTTGTAACCTCCAATGTAAGGTGAGCCCTTGCTGGCACGCTGTGTCCTAATATACTTGAATAAAAACATCGCAACTCCCAAGATAGGGACTTTAACTATAAAAAAAAAAAAATTAATAATAAATATGTATAATATAAAATATTTTACTATACTGTACTTATATCTATTTTGTGCTTTAGATTTGACCTAATAAATGTTATAAAAAAGGCCATATTGATATTTTTAGATTTATATTTTTGGTAATCAGCCTTAAATTTTTTAAAGTCTTGAGTATCAACTAGTTGAGTACTTGCTCCTGCTGTCTTTTCAGATTTAAATGCAATACGATAATCATTTGAATCAACTGGTTTTTTTTTTGGTGTTAAGGTGAGGCCTTGCTTATATCTTTATTAATAATTTTAACTATATATTTTAGAACAGGAGTACTAAAATAAACTAAGGTTGTCTATAACAAAATAAAATTTATATGCAAGAATGAGAGCTCAGACTAGTTTATCTGCGATCTAAACCGAGAATCAACGGGTTTTTTTCCTATTAAAGTTTCAATATTTATATGAATTTCTGAAAGTAACCCATCAATTATAGATACTTTAGCTGTATACTATTTTGCCAGAAGAGATGTTCTATTTTCAAACTTGATAAAAACTTCATAATTATATTCATATTCAACTTCTTTATCAAATAAAGACTTATCATTATTAGGTTCATATTCCTCTTTATAATACTCTTTTTCATTAGGATTCTAATCAAGTTTTTCTTCAGATTCGAAAGCTCCACTTGCTATAGTAAGATTACATGTTTCTAATTCAGAATAGTTATTGATATCATTATCAAGTGTAGAATTTGATAATGCTTTAAGCTTTTTCACTTTTGAAGATAATTTTAATAAAATACTATTGCATTGAGCACACAAAGTAAAATTAAAAACCTCTTTTGCACTCAAGAAATAATTATAATATTCTATTCTTTGTTGAACAAATTTTACTTTTTCTTTTATCCAATTTGGATTAAATACTCATATAAATGCATATTTGATAGCATCTGTTTGATTACTTTTATGTGGCACATTAAACAAGTTACAATTACATTTTTCTTGTCACAAATTAATTTCATAATACATGCATTTTTAGCAACTAAAACAAGTTCCTTGACAATATTTTAATTTTGTTTCTTGAAAATTAGCTATTTTTTAAGAGAAATATGCATATGTGAATAATAATTTATATATAATAAATACATAATATGGCGGGATGTGGCGACCTAGTGAAGTGAATAGGTTGTCAACCCCCAAGTGGCAGGTCTAGAGTTCAAAT